TATGTTGTAACACATTGAATATTCTTTCATTTACTATTCTAGCTAAGAAGTCCAGGTTACTTAATATTAATATTGTTTGGCTTCCTTTACACTTTCTCCTGTATTTGACCAAAATAGTCTGTTCATTTAAATAACCTAATGAATTTTTATATAATAGTATTCATATTGCAAAATTTGGTATAGTAATTTTATTCTCCACATTTTATTTGTATTTTATTTTAAAATGCCAATTTCAGAATAAAATATGCACTATTCCTAAAGACTTAGTGAATAATTAAGCAAGGTTACATCAATCCTGTTGGAGGGATATGTGTATAACATTATTCTTTCCTTTTAGGCTTGGTCTTCAGTTTTTTATCTCTGTACATCAAACTGTTAAGAACCCAAGACCAAGATTTACCTACTGAATTTCAGAACAGCTCAATTTTCTTGGAGATATCTATGGTTAAGAGAAAAAAAAAATCTAACATATATAGGAATTTTAATTGACTCATTTTATAAACACTATTATATCAACAGTAGCTTTAGTTTAATAAAATAAATATTTGAAGCAAGGTGAAAAATACATCTTATTATTAGTATAAGGGGTGAGTGCCCTAACCAGACTTTTTATATGACTGACTGCCATCTCTGTAATCATATACCTAGGTCAAAGGAAAAGAGAAAGAAAAGGAGGGAAAAACATTTAGGGGAATATCTGAGTAAGTATGAACCCATCATGGACAAGATTTCTTCCTAATCCGTCAGCAAACAGCTACTGCTAGAATACTTGGGATAAGGTCATTCTATGTCTACAATGCTCTATCCAAGGCTAATCCTTACTCTTGAATAAGCGTTCTGAGCTAATTCAGATAAGCATGCTGATTATGTCATTATGCTATAAATAATAATACAACTGCTTACAGGAGATAATAAAATGTAAAACTATATGAATATAAAAACTAACCCCATACATCTCCTTCTTAGTATTGGTTAAATACATTTAAAACATTTGTTAAGTATTCTTAGATGATTTTTCTTAAATATAAGAATGAAGGGAAATTTTCAAAGGTATTGCCAAAATAATTTAGTTGTAAATCCAATTTTTAAAACTTAAATTATAATATTAGATCTTAATTTGTCATAAAATTATTAGCATGATAGTAGAGCAGATATTCAATAAGCTTCTAATCTAACAGTCTAATGACAATTTAACAATCTTCCTCATGCCTATTTCCTTCATAGTTGTATATTTCTCTCTAGCAAAATATATATTACAAGATATTTTTTAGAAAATCATATTTAAAATACATGGCATTCATACAGAATTTGGGATGACTTAAATATTTTTATAAATTTATTCAAGGGCAATAGATATTTATTGCCAGAAATATGAACTGATTCTGAGTTATTAATGAAAATAAAATATTCAGTTGGGTTTTTTCTGGGACTCAAGCATTTAGCACAACTCCTAGTACTTATGGGTAGCCAATAGATATTGTTGAATAAATAAATAAATGAGAGATAAATTTTAATATTTTATGGGATCTAATTAGTGCTTACTAGAAGCTCAACAAATATTTGACTGAGTGAGTAGTTGATAGAATAATTAAACAAAAGAGGAAACAGAAAGCAAATTGATGAAGTGGTTTAGTAGTTAAGAAGATACAGAAGGTTAATTGTAATAATAATAACAGGAACAATATCAGATGATGACCCAAAATGAAACTAATAATGTTGAGAAATTTTGACAATATATAAATCAGTTATTATAATTCAGTTTTGAGATAAAGGGTTTTTATTCCTAAGTATTACATAATTCCCTATAAATTAATATTATGTAACTTCTGATAATAAATATGAATTCTGTTATTAAAGTGGTAGTTATTTTAGACCATTGTGTGATTTTCAACAAAAATAAAACACGTATTTGAGAATTTTTTTGAAACATAATCTTTTTTCTCTATAATTGTTATGGAGATAAAGAATATACATAAAAAATGCCGTATTAGTTTTTACATCAACAATGATGTCAATGAGTACATCAGTGACCTCTGTATGTCCTAAGATATAATTTTTATTGATAGGAAAAATAAAAGTGCTAAAGGTAGCACTAAGGAAAATATTTTTAAAATTCTAATGTAGTAATTCCATTTAAATTATAAAGGTAATTAAATTATACAACTGAAACTTCAACATTTTATTTGCCTTTGCACATCACAACTTCTTTCTTAGTAAAAGAGTTCAATACTATGTCAGAGTAGATTTTAATTAAACAAATTCATTTGATTTTGGATGTTTAGCATCTAAAATTTAACTTGACTATATTCAGACTTTGCTTTTAATCTGATTTTTCAGTTTTATTTTTTCAAATTTAGAAATATTTAATACAAGATTATTTTAAGATTGAAATTGAACAAAATATTTTGAGAAAATTCAGAAAATATTCTTCTGTGTTATTTTACCAAGAATCTCTAATATTATATTTTATTGAATATATCTAACATTGTTTATTACCTAATGGAATATCTATTAATTTACTCATAAATGAAGATTTTACACTTTCTTTTTAGTGTATGAGGCAATTTGTCAATTTGTTTTGAAATTGTTGAAGAAGCTGAAATAATATCATTTTCACATCTGTTTACTTAATAAACAATGACAAAATACAACAGTAACATTTCAAAATATAAAAGCAGTAACAGTAAAAAAAAATGGTACATTGGCTGACTATATTCTCAAATAGAATAACATAGTTATATTTCTTTCGTGTAAAATCAGTACAGATTACCATAATTATACAGATGCTGTCTACAATGGTTTTTCAAGTGAGTTATAGAAATATTTTGAAAAGTTAGATAAGTGCATATCCATCCACATGCCTCTATTTGCAAATGTACTTTTTTAAGCTGCCAAGGAATCCAGATATTTCAGTATTTGCTTTGAATCTAACTTCAAAAACTGTGGGTTTGGAAAATTAGAAATAACTAAAATTCCTAATACAAATTTCGAGTAACCCAAGAGTCTCTGTTTAAGATCTCCAGAAAAGTACTGTTAGACCTAACTCAGCTTGATTGATGCCCACAAAGTTGCCTCAAAGTTGTCTCATGACACATTCCTCTAGGCTTTATTTATATCCTCCTGAGAAATTTGTTCATTTAAGAAGAAGAAAGGTACATGCAAACATTAGGAAGACTTTTAAAAATATTTTGGAGTATTTATTTTTCTGTTTGGCCTGTGGGCTGGATGAAGAGTTTCCCAGTCATTGAATTACTCAATCCGAAACTCTTCACTTATTTCTCTGAACATATAAAATAGAGTGGCTGTATCTGTTACTACAATAAAAGATGTAATTGGTCCAAAGATGCTCAAAAACGAGAAGGTTGTTTTATTTTCACAGAATATAGAAAAAGCTGGAGCTAAAAGTTTAGGAACTTCACACTCCAAATTTTCATTACTGTGGGGAGAACCCCAAAAGTCACATAAAACGTTAATAGGTTCTACTGTACAGCTTCACATGCTATATGGCAATAGGTTTCCAATACATAATTTAGGCAAATGCAAATGATAATTATCTAAAGAACACAATTCTTAATATTTAACTAGGTAAAAATGATGTATTTGTAAAATTATTACATATAAATATATAAAAAATTATCCATGTGCAAATATATAAAAATGTTATGCTACTTCTAATTGATTTTATTCATTTTTTAACTGAATGAACTAAACTTTTTATGGCCAGAAAAATACATTACTTCATTGGAAAAAATATGTTCAATTCCTTATTGAAAAAGAAGTTCAATTCCTCACAAATACCCTTACTAATAAATGTATCCAAAGAATCCATGTAATATAATTGAAAAGACACTGCATATTTAATTTTGATTATACAGCACAAAAACATATATATTTATATAAATATTTTTATCACCATAAAAATTATATGTAGAATTCTAATTGATTTTTAATTCAGATTTTTTTTTGATTTTTGAAAAAATATAAAAATTTAAAGGCTATAATGAATATGTGGCTTAACTCCATGTTATTAGAGTAATAATAGAGTTATGAGTCCTGAGGCATAATACTAAACTTCTTAATTAAGGCAAAAGTAAGTTAAATCATATTGAAATATCAGTTGAAAGTTTGATAGTGAGGTCAGCCTAAATAAACGTGATTACAAATTTCCACCTCCAAGAATAAAATTAAGTAATATCATCAACATAGACTGAGCTGTATCACAGATTTTAAGAGTCATTATTAAATTATAAAATATATGTATATTTTTTCATTTAGACATTTTTCTTTTTTTCTTAATTTTTATTTTTTATAGAGATAGGGTCTCCCTATGTTGATCAGACTGGTCTCAAACTCCTGACCCCAAGGCAATCCTCCTATCTTGGCCTCCTAAAGTGCTGGGATTATAGGCATGAGCCATCACGCCTGGCCTGGCATTTTATCTTCTGACCCTACGATTTGAAACATGCACTATGTGTCAATGACAATGGCACTTTTTGTAGTGACATTTATTCTGTAAGAAAAATGACACGTTTTATAGAATATTAGGATAGTCTTTTTATACTTAGAATAGAAATTATAAATTAGCCTTGGTTCCTTAAAAAAGCCTCCTTTTAAATTTTAGTACTTTGGTTTTTCTTAAAATTGAATTATTAACTCAAGTTAGTCAAACATGTTATTTTGGTTTCAGTTCATCAGAAATCTTCAAAGTGAGTCAATGATTCTTTTATCATACTGATTTAAACAGCTTTTAGATTCTGGTTAGGAAAACAGTAAACCCTATAATACTTATAGCTTACTGACACAACCAGCATGCTTTTTGCCCACAAAGGCAGATAAGTACATTTTAATAAATAAATGTGATTCTTAAAATTTTATTATTTTTCAGCACCCCGTGGAAAATAAAGAACAGAAAAAGTAAAATTGATTGTGACTTTTGACAATTATTAGTTAGATAAATGAGGTAACAATTGCCAAAAAAATCACAAAAGTGAGCATGTTACCTGGCTATGACAAAGAGCACACAACTGACACCCAAGTAAGCCAGCAGAATATACATCCAGATATCAGGGGAGAGAGGATTCAGGAAGGAGAAGACGCCTGGGTTTGTACCATTGGGCTTGCGGTACAAAATACTTATTCCAAGTGTCATAAACGGCTTGGAAAAGTCGATGACCTTCTCTCGAACATAGGTAATAGCCAGTGGAGCAACTGCAAGGTCAGCTTTCTGTAGACAGAAACATAAAAAAGAAAAGAAAAATTGGTTTTCAGTCACAAGAAAAAAGTCAGTAATCAAATTAAATAAAACAAAAGCTTTACATTTAATTGTCTCAGTAACAATTATGTTAAAATTTAAAGCATTCCTTACTGTGAAGTAAAGAATCTGATTTACTTCACTAATCATTTCTGTGTGCTTCTAGATTAGCAAATCAGCATTTATTGAAAGTAGATATAGAAAAAAATTTATGGAATTAAAAAAACTGAAGAAACTATTGTATACTCATGACATTAATTACCCTACTCGCCTTCTCATAATTGCTTTTATTTTAAATTTTAAAAATCTATTTAATAATCTTTATCATTTTCTTAATATTTTCATCAAATTATAATAGTATTATACCAAATTGTTTAGCTGAGAATTCAGAGACATTTTCTGATTTTAAAACTATAGAATGTAGTTAAAAGGTTTTAGTCCTTAAATAGTTAAAATATTGTTCAAAACATCTCTCAGTGTGATTCTGTTTACTACCTCTGAGTTTTGTTTCTCTGCCTCTAATTTGTTTTATATTATTTAATGAAAATCCTTGCAGCCTTGCCTAAACCGCATTAGGAAATGAGTTTTTCCATTTTCACAAAGTTGTTAATTTTCCACGGTAGCTTAAATATGTTGAATTAGAAATGCTTTTCACTCATCATGCTATAATCATCTGTCAAAGATGAACTTAAGTTCTCATACATTGTAAGAAATAATTATAATATTTTAAAATAATGAAGGCATCTATTATGAGAAGCTATATTGCTACATTCATTTTATTATTAATAAACGTAAAAACTTTCAAAAAGTAAAGAACAAAATGTTCACTGTCAAGAGTAAGAGAAAGACATTATAAAATGAAATTAGTCCTTTATGTTTTCTTGTCTCAGTCGATGTCAAAGGACTTAAGGAAGAAACTTTTCTAAGTTTGTTGACAATACTATTCTGTGTGTGTGTTTGTGTGCATTCCTGTGTTGGTGGTATGCAGGGAAGAGCACTGAAATGCTTGGAAAGAGTATCTTTGACAGGAGCCACAGAAAAAGACATTTCTCTAAAAAAAAAAGGAAGAAAAAAGGTTTTAAAAATTCTGGGGGAGGGCATCATCATATTTCACCTTCATAAATCAAAGAAAATAACAATTAAAAATAATTGCTAATGTTTTTAGGTAGTTGCTGTACAACAGGCACTATGTTAAGAACTTTACAGGAATTGTCACATTCCCCACACAATTTACATAATATTACTGTTCCTCTCTTTTTCAGATAAGGAAACTGAAACCTTGAGAAGTTAGAAAACGTGCTCATTTTCATAGAGTTCATTAAACAGTGGAACCACGGTATAAAGCCAAGCTGTGGGAGTCTACATCTAGAGCGTAACCATGACATGCATCTCAAAACCCATCAATGGAATCATAGAAGAGCCATTTATTCATTCACTCATTCGTTTAATAATTTGTACAGACGGAAAGGAAAATATATAGAAATTATTCTAGCAATTGATAGATTACAGTCTCTCAGAATTGAGAGGGTCAGGTGCAGAATGCAGGCAGAGGGAGTATTTTCCGCAGAAAAGAGACAGCACTTCCTCTAAGACGTAAGGGAGAAACTAAAAATTGTTTGAAAAAGTGAACAACCTTGTTACAGAAATGAAGTAGTTGCTATGGCTTGGCTCTATGTCCTTACCCAAACCTCATATTGAATTTGAATCTGCACACATTGAAGGTGGGGCCTGGAAGGAAGTGATTGGATCATGGAGGTGGTTTCTCAGAACACCTGGCTGTTTAATAGTGTATAGTGCTTCCCTCTTCCCCGCATCTCTCTCCTGCTCTGCCTTGTAAAGAGGGTGCTTGTTTCCACTCCCTTCCAACAAGATTGTAAATTTACTGAGGTTTCTCTAAGCACACTTCCTATACAGCCTGCAGAACTGTAAGTCTACTGAACCTCTTCTCTTCAAAAATTACCCAGTCTCAGATAGTTCTTTATAGCAGTGCGAGAATGGACTAATGCAGTGGTAGTTTAAGAAATAGACTCCAGGTAAAACGTGGACAACACAGAGCAGTAGTTTATCCCTGTTTGGAGGGTTAAATACACAGCACAATTTATGTATGTGTTACTTCATTTTGTAATTTCCTTTTCCTATCACATATAAACCATATAAGAGAATATGCTATAAAGTGGTAACTTTTTAAAGTTTTTAATTGACAGATATAATTTTATGTATTTACTGTATACAACATGATGTTTTGAAGTACATATACATTGTGAAATGACTAGTCTAGCTAATTAACAGATGCATTATCTCACATAGTTATCATTTTGGTAGTGAGAACACTACATCCACTCTCTTTTTATATAGAGCATTAAAAAGATAATTTCACTGTCTAAGAGAGAAGAATGGTGGTTACTAAAGGAAGGGATGATTATAGGGGTAGGGGGAAAGTTCAGAAAGATGCTGCTCAAAGGAAATAAAACTTCAGTTAAATAGAAGAAATGGGTTTAAGAGATCTATTGTATAAAATGGTTATTATAGGTAATAATATATTGTATTCTTGAAAAATGGTAAAATATGTCTAATGTACAGCAAAAAAAATAGAAAAAATCAAACAACATATATTTTAAAAAGCTACATTATTCAAAAATGTTGTAATGTAGAAATATATCAATAGGATTGGATAGTCATACATTAAATTTTAAAATTTATTTAGCATTGCTTAAAATAAAAAATTCTATTCCAAATGGGAAAGAGGAAAAAAAAACAGAAATTATGTAATACTATAATACTTTTAATTATAAAAGATATTAACTATTTAAAACACAAGATACAAAGAGACACATTCAGTTATTTTGTAAAAAATTTAATGTATAAACAGACTTTATTATAGCCATACAACGTAATATTATTCAGTTATGCAAATAAATGAGCTATCAAGACATGAAAAAGCATGGGGGAAGCTTGCATGAATATTGCTAAGTGAAAGACACAAGAGAATTTACAGGGTCCGTTACAGAGCCTCTGAAAAAGCTACATACTTTAGGATTCCAATTAATGACATCCAGGAAAAGGCAAAAGGATAAAGACAGTGAAAAGATCAGTGGTTGCGAAGGATTCAAGAGGAGTGAGAGAGTGTTGACTATGTGGAGCACAGAACGATTTTAGGGTGGTGAAACTATTCTGTAGGATGCTATAATGGTGGATACATAATATTAGGCATGTATCAAAACTCATTAAAATTGTGCAATACAAAGAGATAATTCAACTGTAAACTATGGACTTTAATCATAAATGTATCAATAATAAATCATCAACTATAACAAATGTACCACACGAATGGAAACTTAGTAATTGGGGAAAATGTGTATGGAAATGGGAAGGGAGAGGATCCAGTAAAGTCTACTTTCTGCACAATTCATCTGTACATCTAAAATTTCTTTAAAAAATAAATTATACATTATTAAATAACAACAGGTTGTTTTTACTATATCCTCTGTTAGCAGATGTATTGCACTATAACAATGTTGCTTATGTTTGCAGCTTGAAGAATGGGTCTAAAAGGGCAAAACCCCGGATTAGGTGGGTGGAAGGGGAAAGAAAAATGAATATCATAGTATAGCTAGAATTACTGTGCCCATTATGAGGCAAAATGTGCTATATTATTTGGAGGCTTTTCACCTCTATTCATAATCACTACAGCCCTACCAAATTTGTAGTGTGATATTTCCTTTTAACAAATGAAAAACAAAAACAGAATAGCTAACCTGAAACATGAAATCTTAAGGAAAGTATGGCTCCAAAGATGACTTAATGATGCTCATTTCCCACTATTTTTCTGTACAACCATTCAAATATATCACACCTATTTCTGTTGCTCTACTGGTTTTGTTATTTCCCTTCCCAAAATGATATTCCTCTTTGTCTACTACTCAAATTCTGTAAGACACGTATGTGGTTCTTTTCCTCCTGTGTATACTTCCCTGAATACTCTAACCATGTTAATTTATCCTCAGTGAATTCGTATATAACTTATAAACTGAATCCTGTAATTTAACATGTAGCAATATTTTATGTTGTGTTATTTCTTGTTATTTCACATATAAGTCAACCAATATGATATGAGAAATCTGAATATACATATTATTGTAACAGTATTCTCCCAGTTCCTATGAGAGTATAAACACTTGAAAGCCTGCAGGCATATCCTTCAATCAAAGCATGTAACTCTAAACTGAGGGAATGGTAAAGTTTCCCGCCCCAGAAATCTAACAAAGACACCTACACAGCAGCTATCTTATTAAATTAATAAGCATTAATTTAATATTCTATCATTCTATGTGAAACTCTTCCAAATTGTCTTATTCATCTTTATGATCATAATGAACCTAACATCCCTGAGGCACTGGATAAAATTTGACACCAAGGAACTGCATAGTAAATGTTTGCTGAGTACAGTTACAATTTAACTTAGTAAAATTTTCAAAGAAAACCACTCAGATAATTTTTAAATGAAACATTTTTCTAGTCTTACTATAGAAATAAAATTTTTTTATACAATAATATAATTCCAATTGAACTAACTATCTAGATAGAACAGATTAATTCTTTTTACAGTTACATAGCTAATAGCAATCCACTGGTTAAATCCTATAAAGTAGTGGTAAAAATTATTGGTCTAATTTCTGAGAGCTTAAACAAAAAATTAGATAACAAAACATATCTTTGTGAATGGCACAATGACTCCAAATTTGAATATGTTGTGAAACTTTCTTCTTTATGAACTCTTAGAAATCTAAGAACATAATTATCTGATTTTTGTAATACATGATCTCGTCAGTGAAACATCTTGTACATACTTCTAGAGGTTCTTGCAATTTAACACTAGAAGACCAGTTCTAAATGTTGTTTTCTTTTCCATGATGTTGTTAAATGCTTAATAAAATGGGCAAAATAATTAAAGCAGTAAGTTCTTATGAATAAAT